CTCAAGCCAGAGATCGAGCGCCATGGATACGATGGGCGTGCGTGCGCCATAGCCCATGACGTGAACTAGAGGATCATCGAAGATGATGAAGCGCTCCCACACTTCGCCCGGGCAAGCCAGAACATCGCTGCTGCGGTGGCCTTGCTCCGGGGCTTCCGGGGCCCGCGACGCCCGAGGATCATAAGGCCCATTCTGAGATTCGCATGCTACTCGAGCGCGTGGCAGCGCAGCAAGCTGAGAGCTCGTTGGCCCGACGACGCGAGCTCGACGCCAGCCAGCGCATGCCCTTAGAGCGACCCGACAAGGACGCGTCAATCCACCAGGCGCCGTAGGGCGGCAGGCCGCGCACTGCGGTCCTAGTGCATGAGCGTCTCGGCCTCCACCGTGATGTGTGCGACACCCTCGATGCTCGTAGAAGTGCCTACGGCGATGCGAGGGAGGGGGCTAGCCGTGGCTACCACCCTCGTCATGGCGGACGCTACGACAGCGACGAGGACCGAAGCCCGAGCCTCGACTTGTCGGGACCTCAGGCCTTTGGCTGACACATCCTCAACATCGTCTTCCCACCACAGTACTGACCACCGACCAACATCCCAAAATACTCTAGGGAAATGAACCCCGGACTATGGCTCGAGGATTATCGGCTTGCTTGCCAAGCCGGTGGAGCAGATAATGACGATTTTATTATCCGCAATCTTCCATTGTTCTTGGCCGATTTGACGTCAACGTGGTTGGAACACTATCGGGGACCAATACTAGGGTACCCGAAGAGGAGGGCTAATGACCATCAACATTGATTCATCCGAGTAGTCAAGAGCTCGACTACAGCTCCAACTGACCTCTAGGCGTGCAAGCCCCGCCTCGCCCGACCTCTGGGGGCGGACTCCGCCGTGGGCTCCACCTCGCCCGACTCTTGGGTTTGCACTCTGCCGTGCCCGGCCTCTGGAGGAGTTCTCCGCCTCGCCCGACCTCAGGGGGAGGGCTCTGCCTTGTCCGACCCCAAGGTCGTGCGCTCCACCTCGTCCGACCCCAAGGCCGTAGGCTCCGTCTCGCTCGACCCTTGGGTTTACGCTCCGCCTCGCCCGACCCTTGGGTTTGTGCTCCGCCTCGCCCGGCCTCTGAGGGAGAGCTCTGCCTCGCCCGACCCAGAGGCCGCAGGCTCCGCCTCGCCTGACCCCAAGGTCGTGCGCTCCGTCTCGCCCGACCTTAAGGCCGTGGGCTCCGTCTCGCCCGACCCTTGGGTTTACGCTCTGCCTCGCCCGACCTCTGGGTCACCCGACGACATCAGATGGAGCCAACTGCATGACCATGGCACCAGCCACCTGTGCGAGCCAACCGGATGACCGTGGCACCACCGCACCAGCCACCTGTGCGTGGTGGACGATGACGACAACCGTTTGTCAGACAAAATGAGGACACCTGAACTATCGATTATGCAGGCCATAAATCGTTAGCGAATCAGCCGTGCAAGCTTCTCTTCCGACCCTGAGAAAGGCGATCGTGCGGCGGCTCACCGATCGTGACGCCAGACGCCGACGGCGACATGGACACCGAGTACGCCGGCCTCCTCGCCAGTCACCGCCGCAATCCGACGGAGCGTCAGGTGGAGGGTTTTTTTTTCCCTCTCTCTTTGGAGAATGCATTTGTGCGTTTGTCCTATTGAGATTTTTGTACTACTCATTGGCATTGAGTCCACACGACTAATTAAATATACGATCTTCTTTTATTGTTTTGCTTGGTATAATTACTGACTAACCACTGTTTTACAGGGTTCTTCGAGCGATCAAGTTGGTTACAGCTCAAATTGTTCTCTGCAAATACCAGAACCAGAACCACAACAAATCCAAGAAGAACATTACCATGGCTGCAGAAAATTGCACCCAATGCAAGGAAGAAGCCAAGGAGCCACCTAAATCAAATACTACAGATGAGAATGCAAATAAATATACGCAGTTCAAGCTGTTTGATACTGTTCAGAATTTCTCTGACCATCACTATGCTAAGAATTGTCATGGAGAGATGAGAGCATGCACTTAAGTCTGTTCGCTGGTTGGTTTCTGGGCTGATAAGCCCGGCTGGTGCTAATTTGTTGTGAGAGGAAAACACTGTATCATGGCTGATAAAGCCCTGACTAAAACCAACAAACGAACATGCTGTTACAGTGCTGAAGACAGAATTTTGCTGAAAAGTCATGAATAGCAGGTCCGACGTACATGTTCTTTACAGCTGCTAGCATGAAAGCAGTAGCTTTTAACAAATTATAGGATTTAGTGAATTTAATTAACATGAAAACTTAGATACTGGTCCTTTAATGCCACAGGTTTTTGGCTGAATAAAACATCTGTTTGCATTGTAGGAATGAAAGAATCGATGACTTAAGCTTTCACACGTTGAAATTAGCTGCCAACAAAGCGCCAGGTGGGGTTCAAAAGTCACCTGTTAGTCATCTGCATGGTGAGTTCATTATCCAACAATATCAAGATTCTTGAAATGAAAATACCGGTTTCTGTGAACTATTCCCACAGCTAATATTTGGGCAATGTAATTGTATCATCATGCATTGTAGAAATATCCTTGAAAATTTATTGTTATTCCTCCGAGAATCTTAACAATTAGCTATTGACTTTTCGTTTTTATCTACGTGCGTGCCGGCAGAACAAAAGAACGAAAGCTTTTCTCCGCTGAGGAGCTCCCACTTGAGCATTTGTGATTTCACCTTCGGCGGATTTATCATGTACTCCATTGCACAAGGGTGCTAAGCATTTATGATTTTACCTTTGGCTGATTTATCATGTAATTGCAGAACGGTGCTACTTTTTTGTCAGATGATTTATCTGGATAAGCTAAAGGCAACAAGCAACATCTTCTCAAAACGATTGCTTATCCGTGTTGGCACTAAAATATGTTGCATGCATCGTCACGGTTTTTTAAAAAGTATGCCTGCTTCATCTTTATGTTTGCATCTTGCCATACATAGTTTTAGGCACTAACAAACTGTACCTTTGGACATTACCTTGTTTGTTTGGAGCTAAGCCACTAAACCAAGAGGTTTCAAATGGTTCATGGCTGAAGAGGCAGTGCCTCTTTTTAGGTGTTTCTACGAGCAAGGAAACTCAAATGGTTGATATTATTATAAAATGGTTTCTAGAATTATTGCCTCTGCATAAACTTCTCATTCAGGTCTGAAGTTATAAAAATATTACCTTGTATTGCTTATTTTGATTTTGTATGGTTAGTTGGGTTCACAATTTGTGGCATTATTACATACAAGTATAATTTTCATTAGGCCCCTCATGCCTACGGAGAAAATTGAGAACCATCTATTGGTGTTATCGGAATAAAAACTAAGTGGATACAAGTCAGGAACCACATAGCATGGTTAGGATAACCATCATTTTTGCATATTTAGTTAGTCATTTTTCATACTGGCTTCATACAAGAAAATATAACTTTTTTCATGTCATTTAAGCTTCTGATAAAGTTTTTCTCCTGTGTACATGTTTCGGCTCCAAGGCGTCATGGACCAATAGGAATACCTGAACAATGACTGGTTTGTTTACCTGGACTACAATCATAATTCAAAAACTACAATGGAGGTACTTGTGATGGAGTTATGTAAGTCTAGGGAGATTCAAGGGAGAGCAGTGGTTACTATGAGGAGAATAAGGCATTTTTATTTAAGAGTACTGTTACGCTATATTTGTATCCAGCTAATATTTGGGTTAGCTACTATATATATTGTTTGTAATAATATATATAATAATGTAATATATCATTGACTATTATAACCATAAATGTGTGCCGCACACACTTGTAATGCTTGATTCTTGGTGTCATAGGAGCAATTACCATCACGTATTTAGATATTATTTACACCAAAATTTGGAAAAAGGGTCACAGGGACTCGAAAGCTCCCAAGATCATGTCATCAAGGAACCAATTGCATGTAGATTGGAACCAGCTGATTCGAATAAACTGGAATCGGCTTTCTTCAGATGGCGTCAGCGGATAACGACAAAGGCTACGTTCGGCGTCAGGACGAAACATGACGAACTCTACAAAAAGGAAAAAATTAGAGTCCAAGTTATCTTAAATTAGAAATGTTTTCTCTAAGGTCAAAAATTGTGATGAGTCATGTTTAGACATGAGTCATGCGTAGGTCCCGGGTATAAATATCAAGCCCCAGCTATTGTAAAAGGACAACAATCAATCCAATATACACTCGGCAAATGATTATTATTCGGCAAACCTATTTTCCAAAGAAAAAAATAATTTTTTTCTCAGCATATTATTATTGTTTGCTGAGTGTTTTTAGGAATTTTTTTTCAGTGATGTTATTTTAGGTTGAGTGCATCACGGTTAACTCTGCTGAATTTGGAAAGGCAGTACAGCAGAATCACAACTGAAAGTGTGTGGAGCAGCTGCAGCTAAATAAACACAAAAAACTATGCCAATCTCGATATCACTATAATCTGAAACTACAGTCCAGATGTAGTGCTTGGCATGTGGAGATCCCTCCTGAAACTGAAACTTAGAGAAGGATCTTGATACACAACAAAATAACTTGCAACTGACTCAGACGCTCTGTTCTAGAGCAAGAAATTGTTTCAATACTAAAAGGTAAAGGTGAATTCTGCAAGCTTTAAACTTTCTAATTAAACTCCTACAGAAAATATCAGATCACTCTATCCAAATTAAACTTTCTAATAAAAATCCAATCCAAGAATGAGCTTGTTGAGAAGTCACTTGTTGTTATACTTCACCCAAAAACATTGGGGCAGGGAACACGAACGGAGTCTCTGTGCTACAGCTACCAAGCCAAAAACGAATTGCGTGAGGACCGGAGGAGACTACTTCAGGGTCCAGGGAGGACACGGTAAGGGTGTGTTGGCGGCGGGCGGCTCCTGCCTTCACCCAGAGACTACCTGTTTTTATCCGGCGCTCCTGCCTTCCCGTTTCAGCGCCTCCTCCTCTCCTGCTTGCGGCTCCAGGTGCCGCCGATGGGGAAGGGAAAGGGGACGCTGCCTGCAATCGAATTGATGAGTCGTATCAAGAAGCAGAAAGAGAAGGGGAAGGAGAAAGAGATGACGCGAAGGAGAAGATGGGCGGGCACATCTAGAGGAGGGGCACCTGGATCTGCTCTCGGCGTTGGAGGAGGACACGCTGGAGCGGAGGCGCCGGCGACGACAGCGGCGGGCTGGCGGCGGCTGTCTTCTCCTTCCCCAACCGAGAGCAGTCACGGACTTGGGCGAGCACGGGAGATGGAGAGGACGGGGAAGTCCCAACCCGCCCCAACCCCGCCACCACGCCGCATGCCCCATCCGCACCCTTTGCCTGCGCTTGGCTGCTCGTGCTGCTTGCCATGGCCGTTGCGCTCGGCTGCTGCTGTTGCTTGCCATGGTCACGCGCGCACCGAGGAGGAGCTCCGCCCACGGCTCGACTGCACCTAGGACCCCACCTCCGACGAGGGAAGGAGGGGCCGCCGGATCCCCGCCGCCACGCCGCCGGGGAAGGAGGGGCCGCCGGATCCCTGCCGCCACGCCGCCGGGAAAGGAGGGGGCGCCGGATCCGACGAGGGAGGGAGGGAGGAGGGGTCCGGGAGCAGAGGGGAGGGGCGGCAGCCGGAGGTGAAGAGGGCGGCCGGGAGAGGAGGGGAGGGAGGCGGCGCCGGCGGGAGGAGGGGCGCTGGGGGCTAGGAGGAGAGGGGAAGAAGAAGGGGTGGGGACGAGAGGGGTGGGGGCGCTGGGGGCCAGGAGGAGAAGGGAAGAAGAAGAGGTGGGGACGGGAGGGGTGGGGCGCTGGGGACGGGACCGGTTAAGTAGGATGTCCCCAGGTCACTCGGTAAAGTTTTTATTTTTATTATTTTCTTTTCTTTTTTTTAGAAAAAAGATTTTATTTGTTTATCGAGTAGATCTGAGCACTCGGTAATGTTTTTTAATTTTTTCTTCTCCTTTTTTTTTAGAAAAAATATTTTATTTCTTTGTCGAGTGTTTTTTTTGGCAAACCACCTCTTTTGTCAAGTGTTTTTTTTTGCCAAGTGTTTTTAGCGCAGCACTTAGCAAATATCTTGTTTGTCGAGTGCCCGAATGAATACACTCGACAAATATAAAAACACTCGGCAAATTTAAGGATTCCGGTAGTGATGGTCTGACAAACGGATCCAACCGCAAAACTTATAAACGTTTACATGTGTTTCTCTCTTGCCCGATGCTTACGTTGGATTTTTTTTCTCACCGTCCTCCACACCTACCACCCGCCGTACCCACTACCCACCTGCGATCTCTAGCCTCGACTTGATATACCGGTGGCCGGCTTCCCTTCTATAGGCAGACTCGCAAACCCTAGCCTCTGGCTTATGCTCGTCGCACCGGCGATCAGCCTCGCCCGCGACGGCTACGAGGTGGTCACGTACATGGCCCGCGCGCTCATGGAGAGCGAGGGCGGCATGCTCGCATACCCCGACCTGCGCGCCGGTGTTCGCGCCGGGGAGGGTGCTGGCGGCCGAGGAGACGTGTCGCAACCCGGCGGTCGGATCATAGAAGCGATCAAGCACATGCTAGCCATCCGCCGGATGGACCTTGGCGACCCCGACTTCCTGAACCTGACCCGCGACGACTGTTGACGCCATTCGCTGACAAAGTCCGGCAAAGGATCCTTGACAACACGATGCTCCCTCCCGGCCACTACTTGTCTACTTCCTCAAGTATGCCTAATTGCCTTGCTTCTACCAGTTGCAGCGGTCATCGGTCATCAAAAAGATTAATTAATTCTATTTTGGTTGGCGTCAATGACATCAGATGGAGCCAACTGCATGACCATGGCACCAGCCACCTGTGCGAGCCAACTGGATGACCGTGGCACCACCGCACCAGCCACCTGTGCGTGGTGGACGATGACGACGACCGTTTGTGAGACAAAATGAGGCCACCTGAACTATCGATTATGCAGGCCATAAATCATTAGCGAATCAGCCGTGCAAGCTTCTCTTCCGACCCTGAGCAAGGCGATCGTGCGGCGGCTCACCGACCGTGACGCCAGACGCCGACGGCGACATGGACACCGAGTACGCCGGCCTCCTCGCCGGTCACCGACGCAATCCGACGGCGCGTCAGGTGGAGGGGTTTCTTTTCCCTCTCTGTTTGGAGAATGCATTTGTGCGTTTGTCGTATTCATATTTTTATGCGTTTGTCCTATTGAGATTTTTGTACTACTCATTGGCATTGAGTCCACACGACTAATTAAATATATACGTACGATCTTCTTTTATTGTGTTTTGCTTGGTATAATTACTGACTAACCACTGTTTTACAGGGTTCTTCCAGCGATCAAGTTGGTTACAGCTCAAATAGTTCTCTGCAAATACCAGAACCAGAACCACAACAACTCCAAGAAGAAGAACATTACCATGGCTGCAGAAAATTGCACCCAATGCAAGGAAGAAGCCAAGGAGCCACCTAAATCAAATACTACAGATGAGAATGCAAATAAATATACGCAGTTCAAGCTGTTTGATACTGTTCAGAATTTCTCTGACCATCACTATGCTAAGAATTGTCATGGAGAGATGAGAGCATGCACCTAAGTTTGCTTCCGCGGCTAAACTCCGATTCTCATAGACTAATAGATTATGCTGAAGACAGAATTTTGCAGAAGCGTCATGAATAGCAGGTCCGACGTACATGTTCTTTACAGCTGCTAGCATGAAAGCAGTAGCTTTTAACAAATTATAGGATTTAGTGAATTTAATTAACATGAAAACTTAGATACTGGTCCTTTGATGCTACAGGTTTTTGGCTGAATAAAACATCTGTTTGCATTGTAGGAATGAAAGAATCGATGACTTAAGCTTTCACACGTTGAAATTAGCTGCCAACAAAGCGCCAGGTGGGGTTCAAAAGTCACCTGTTAGTCATCTGCATGGTGAGTTCATTATCCAACAATATCAAGATTCTTGAAATGAAAATACAGGTTTACGTGAACTATCCCCACAGCTAATATTTGAGCAATGTAATTGTATCATCATGCATTGTAGAAATATCCTTGAAAATTTATTGTTATTCCTCCAAGAATCTTAACAATTAGCTATTGACTTTTCGTTTTTATCTACGTGCGTGCCGGCAGAACAAAAGAACGAAAGCTTTTCTCTGCTGAGGAGCTACCACTTGAGCATGTGTGATTTCACCTTCGACGGATTTTATCATGTACTCCATTGCACAAGGGTGCTAAGCATTTATGATTTTACCTTTGGCTGATTTATCATGTAATTGCAGAACGGTGCTACTTTTTTGTCAGATGATTTATCAGGATAAGCTAAAGGCAACAAGCAACATCTTCTCAAAACGATTGCTTATCCGTGTTGGCACTAAAATATGTTGCATGCATCGTCACGGTTTTTTAAAAAGTATGCCTGCTTCATCTTTATGTTTGCATCTTGCCATACATAGTTTTAGGCACTAACAAACTGTACCTTTGGACATTACCTTGTTTGTTTGGAGCTAAGCCACTAAACCAAGAGGTTTCAAATGGTTCATGGCTGAAGAGGCAGTGCCTCTTTTTAGGTGTTTCTACGAGCAAGGAAACTCAAATGGTTGATATTATTATAAAATGGTTTCCAGAATTATTGCCTCTGCATAAACTTCTCATTCAGGTCTGAAGTTATAAAAATATTACCTTGTATTGCTTATTTTGATTTTGTATGGTTAGTTGGGTTCACAATTTGTGGCATTATTACATACAAGTATAATTTTCATTAGGCCTCTCATGCCTACGGAGAAAATTGAGAACCATCTATTGGTGTTATCGGAATAAAAACTAAGTGGATACAAGTCAGGAACCACATAGCATGGTTAGGATAACCATCATTTTTGCATATTTAGTTAGTCATTTTTCATACTGGTTTCATACAAGAAAATATAACTTTTTTATGTCATTTAAGCTTCTGATAAAGTTTTTCTCCTGTGTACATGTTTCAGCTCCAAGGCGTCACGGACCAATAGGAATACCTGAACAATGACTGGTTTGTTTACCTGGACTACAATCATAATGCAAAAACTACAATGGAGGTACTTGTGATGGAGTTATATAAGTCTATGGAGATTCCAGGGGAGAGCAGTGGTTACTACGAGGAGAATAAGGCATTTTTTATTTAAGAGTACTGTTACGCTATATTTGTATCCAGCTAATATTTGGGTTAGCTACTATATATATTGTTTGTAATAATATATATAATAATGCAATATATCATTGACTATTATAACCATAAATGTGTGCCGCACACACTTGTAATGCTTGATTCTTAGTGGCATAGGAGCAATTACCATCACGTATTTAGATATTGTTTATACCAAAATTTGGAAGAAGGGTCACAGGGACTCGAAAGCTTCTAAGATCATGTCATCAAGGAACCAATTGCATGTAGATTGGAACCGGCTGATTCGAATAAACTGGAATCGGCTTTCTTCATATAGCGTCAGCGGATAACGACAAAGGCTACGTTCGGCGTCAGGACGAAACATGACGAACTCTACAAAAAGGAAAAAATTAGAGTCCAAGTTATCTTAAATTAGAAATGTTTTCTCTAAGGTCAAAAATTGTGATGAGTCATGTTTAGACAGGAGTCATGCGCAGGTCCCGGGTATAAATATCAAGCCCCGGCTATTGTAAAAGGACAACAGTCAATCCAATATACAAGTCATTTACTTTTTCGGCTCCGGCCACCCTTAGGAGTAGGAGTAGAGTAGATCTCGACGAGTTCTTCAGCAAGTACGGCTGCATCAATCCGGTCGACCTCCACTGCTTGTTGTAAGTATCGTCATGGCTTATACCTCTGTTCATACGGCTCTGGTATAAGTTAGTTATCGATTCTTGCCTAGTTCAAGTATGGCTGCATCGATCCGATCGACCCCCACTGCATGAACTAGATCAAGGTCAAGTTATCGGCTCTACCTTAGAATGACAGTCTTTGGTAGATTCATTAAGTTACCCATATTGCGTATTGCTTTCATTGTTTATCTAAATTACAGCAATATCACTGTGCCCGATTGGGATTGATCTAGATCGGCCTTATATCTTGTTTAGCCCATCGTTTGTTAATCTGAAACTGATCTAATCTATACATTAAACGATGAGTTATGTTTTATCGGCTGTTTTACGTCAATCTTGATCGTGCATAGCGTGCGGTTAAAGCATGTTGCGTCTTGAGTAGATTTATTGGCTAGCGAAAACCATTCTATGGCCCGTTATCACGGCCTGTGTGATTCCGCCTCACAACCCACTGTTAGCACCGTGGAGTGGGGATCGTTATTTGACAGATATATTCCTGATAAGGCATGACTTTAACTGTGTGCTATACCTGAATCGGCTGTTTTAGCCGATATCAAGTGCTTTCATGAACAGTTCGCATCACGAGACTGTTGAAGTAAAGATAGGTTGAAAGATATGTTAGCCCCAT